TTATATCCAGCTTCAATTTCTCACACCCTTAGAAGCCAGAAAGCCTTGTAAGCCACTTCTCAAACCAAAAGCACTGTGAATCCTTTCAGACTGAACTGCCATCTACCACTCTATGTTTGATTTCACCATTAAGCCTCTAGTAACTTTTCCTTTCAAAGCCCCACAAAGTAAGTCTTACCAACAAACATATATGCAAATAAGTGAGTAATATTGAGCTTTATAACTCCCTTACATGGCTTCTTGATCTGTTATTTAACTGACATCAGTTCCCTTTTTTCCAAATGTATTTCATGTATATATGTCTGTTTTCTATAATCTCCATTTCTCTTATCTCTTGTATTTTAATAAACCACATGTCCAGATTCAGCATCTTCTTTAGCAGCCAGAGAGGGAGATATATTTGTTCATTGCAGTTATTCAAATTCTAAACATCTCCCTCCCTTTATTTGATTTTAGTGAGATTCTGGACATTTTCTCAATACCAAGAAGATTGAATTCATTGGAATGTAACTCTGAAAGAAGTCTTGCATCAAAACTTTAATTTCAGTTCAAAACCGCATCAATTTAAGGTATCCCCAGAAGATCTGGACAAGGTGAACCTTTTTTTATGAACTGTTTTCAACACTAGTTTAAGATGAAACTAAAATTGTTTTTCACTTCTTCACACTGAGAAAAAACACACAAACAAAATCCGAGACCATTATTTCACCTTCACACATATTCTAACTCCTGACAAGACTCCTGATGGCTACTTAAGCAAGGACACATTTAAACCTTTAAATCTGACTTTTGGGGCATTATCTTCCCTGTATTAATGGAATAAACTACCTAAAACAGAGCTCTACTTTCCGAGGGGGCTCTCTACTGGTCTGTCATTGATGACTCGTAGACAGAGAGAGCATTATGTTAAGAGGCTCATCTCAGCAATTCCAGTATTAGCTACCAAGAGAGACACCAGCAGTGATTCCTCACTGATCCTTTGAGAAACAGCAGTGATTTGTCTCCTAGTTTTCTCTCAGCTTTCGGTGAACTCAGTGTCCTGAGTTTGTGGAAAGACGCTCACTTGATATATTGCTCTAGTCACAGCTGTTTAAAGGTACTTCTTGGCCAAAGTGGGAGTTGGAGGAGTTTATTCAAATAAAACTGTAAAACCCAAAGTAATTTTAATTCCTCCCCTTGCAAACATACCTTCCCACTCAGAATAAGAACAGGAGATGCACATTGCAGCTTCAGGGAAAGAAAGTGCTTACGTGGAAAACTTAAGAGCAGTAACCAAAATCAGGGCTTTTCAGCCCCATGCCAGTTGAAACTTTCCTATTACTTCCTAATGTTATCTCAGACCTGCTAGCCACAAAAAGATCACAAGCTGCATAGTTTCAACTTTTCACCCATGCCCTTGGGGCCACAGTGGAAGAACAGCAAAATTAATGCTCCAGGCTGAAGAGTCTTCAGCTACATTGCTCCGGAGAAAGAGAGCTGGAATTAAGAGTGCCCCAGCTTTGCCACTGTTATTCCCAGCCCTTTCAAAAGCAACCAAACATCAGTTGTGTCTGTTTCTCGCTGAAGAAATTAATCTGAAACTCACGTTTTCTCCCGGCAGCGTTCTGCCACCTGCCTGTGCATACTGCATTTTATCCCGGGTCAGGTCATCAATCTCCAGCCTCAGCACAACTCTCCAGAGGGGAGCCCTCCTATTTCACTTACCCGTCCATGCTGCCATCTAAACACCCTCCAGACTGAAAAGAGCCAGAAGGCAATTCATCTCACCCTAACTTAAGCCTCTGAAATGCCCTCAGCAGGTTCCTCTACTGATTATAGACACAGCCGAGTGTAGATCATGTTGCTGACTTCTAGACAGTAAAAGTTAGGGAAGCGAATCCTACTGCTGAGAGGTTGCTCAACTGCCTTATTTAAATCCGATACCACCACACTGCAGCGAGTGTCAGCCCCCAAGTCTATCTTTCCATCTCTTTTACCAGGCTCAAACACTCAATGAATGAGAGATCTCACCAAAAGGGATGCCGTGAACACTGCACTGTGCTCTGTGCTCCCTGCAAGCTCTCTCTGAACAGTGTACCCACCACATCTTTTCCTGGGTTTTATTTTCTTCCCCCATAAGATGTCAGCGTTAATGCAAACTGTTGCACCAGTCACTGCTGGTTCTGTAAATAATTTCTCAATGGTACATCTTTTTCAAAGCAATTTGAACAATTAAAAATTTAACCACATTAAACTCGCCCACATACCTTTAATCCGAGTCTGTCAAATGCATGGTCTTGGAGCTGAATACATAGAGTCTTTTGGTTCAGCGTTTTAAAACTGGAGCATAGTGCTGGTCTGGATGTTTTCCATGTAAAGTCAATAGCAGTCAAGAAGTCCTTCATGAACTCCCTGAATCCTTCTGCAAGTCCTCTTCTGTGACTCAAAGCCCCAGTTGGATTTGTTTGGGGGAGCTTGTTTCTTTTGTTTTGGGGTTCCCACCACTTCTGGGCCATGAGGGACATGAAGGCGTGTTTCTATTCTGAGATCACGGATTGAACGCATTGTCCGAGAGCAAAGTATTGCAATGTAAAGTATTGCAAATTAATGCAGACTGACTGCTTTATAGCCAGATCCTATTGATCAGAAATGCTTATCTCATGGACTTCATCCCAGTTTTGTGACCAGACGCAGTTATGCTCATCCACAGCTCCAAATAGTGTGTTTTTTGTAGCTGGAGTTCGGCGTGCCGAGAAGAGGAAGACTGCCTGTAGCTCACCTTGCAACTAGCTGGAGGCCAGCAAAAAGACAGACACGTGTCTGGTAAAGCAAATTCTGTACCTTATGCCTCATACTCTGCCTTTGAGGTATAGCAAAGCAGGTCAGGGACAGCCCAGCTGTGACAGCCTATACAGCATCCTTTTCCTGGATGAAGGCAGAAACCCTGTTGGTTGTGTGTATGGCATCCACTCCAGCTTCCTCAGCAGCCTCCTGGCACACTGCAACAGAACTTTCGTCAGAGAAACAGGGACAGCTGCCACCACCAGAGAGCCAACAGCTGGACTGCAGGCATGTGCCCATCTGTACCGGGATGAAGGGCTGTTTTCAGGGGGCTGGGGTGATACAGCAGCACCTCAGGGCCTGCACAAACACAGGAGAGTGCTCTTGAAGGGCCTACGTCGGGAGCCCAAGCACAGGGCAGCACCTCAGGCTCACACAAACACAGCGTACGGCTCTTGGAGAGACAATTTCAGGAGGCCAGGTGACAGAGCAGTGCTTCAGGCCTGTGCAGACATAGCGCAGCACTCTTGGAGGGCCCATTTTGAAGGCCAGGTGACATGGCAGCACCTCAAACCTGCATGAACATGGCACAGCAGCCCTGAAGGACCCTTTTTGAAGGCCACATGACATGGCAGCACCTCAGGCGTGCGCAAACACAGCATAGCACTCTTGGAGGGCCAGTTTCATGAGGCTGAGGACAGGGCAGCAACTCAGACCAGCACGAACACTGTGTAGCACTCTTGGAGAGCCGATTTTGAACGCCAGGTGATACAGCAGCACCTCAGACCTGCACCAACACAGCGTAGCACCCTTGGAGGGCCGATTTGGTGATGCCAGGGATAGGGGCATCGCCTCAGACCTGTACCAACATGGCGTAGTGCTCACAGAGGACCGATTTGGGAGGCCGGGAACAGGTCATCGCCTCAGACCCGGACACGCACGGCGCAGCTCTCCCGCAGAACCGCCCGTCTGGCGGCGACGCGGCATCGCCTCAGTCGCGCCCAAGGCGGGAA